AGGTCTGACTTAAGTCAGTATAATGTTTTTGGCCAAATTAAACAGCAGTTGGCTGCTGTTTTACAACACCCACCTAACAGTAGGGCCGGCCCCAGATTCCCCTACAGAAAAATAAGCAGGGAAATGGGCCAAATTATCTTCAGATATTCTCTGCCACTCGCCAATTATGAAAGCCCTCCGATTTCAGAGGAAGGTGGTAGAAGATACCAACCCACCCCACAAAGAAAACCCCCTCTTTGATTTATTTCCTTTTTTAAAAAAAGAAAAGCTCTTGCTATGCCATCTGGAATGCATACACTTTGGGATAGGAAACGCTAACCAATTCCTGGCTCCCCCCACATCACGCAGACGGACCCCACCAAGGGAGAGGCATCTGGCGGACTGGAACCCCAGCTGGGGGGTCTTCCGGTTGCGCCCCGTGAGCTTTCAGTGGGAATTCTCTGCCTGAAATGCGTGAAAAGGAATCCCGTAAATCTTGGTGGGAAAAAAGACACACACCCTTTTCCTTTGCGTGACCCCAAGAGGTCACACTAGGGGCTGTGGGACCTGTGCCCCTCCCACTTCCAGCTCCTGTCATCGTCCTAGACCAAATGCGGCCCTCAAACTCCCAAATGTGGCCCTCAAGCAGTCTCTGTCTGGCCCTCGGATCTCACCTTTCGATACGTGCTCCCTCAACTGCGTCAACCTGCGGAGCCAGCGCCACATAATATCCGTTCTGCGTTTGCAAGAAATTGACCTAAACTTTGGAACTCCCTGCCACTTGATGCCTTTTCTATACTCTTTTCTTCAACGCCTGCTTAAAACGCGGTCATTTAGGCAAGCCTGCCCCCAGACGCGTAGAATTTCAGGGGTTTAAATCTGTTTTGCTGTTGTTGTTGTTGTTGTTTTCTGTTAACTTTAAATACCTTTAAAAGTTTTGAACTTTCCCCAGGTGGGTGATTTCAATACTTCTGAGAGGTTTTGCTACAGTCAAAGTGGTATTCTGCTAAATAAAGGGATCAATAATGAACATTATTGAAAAGTTGAGACATCACCTTGCCAACAAAGGTCCGTATAGTTAAAGCTATGGTTTTCCCGCTCACATTCCCCCACTTATCTTTCTAAATCAGTTACATCGGCTACATTAAAAAAAAGGCACCCTTGGCTGGGAGTTGTGGAAGGAAAGGTCACCACTTTGTGGAATCAAAACATGTCTGAAAAGGTCACTGCGCCCAAGAGAACGCTCGGCCCAAATGCCAAACTCGCTCTCTCTTCTCCTATTAAAACCCACAGGTTGCTAATGTAAGTATCACCGTGGAAAGGGAAATCAGCAATGAGGACTAGCAACTTAACAAAGCCATGCTTGTTTTATCAAAACACACCTGGAAGGTAGTTGCACCTGAGAAAGCACCCACCAAACACTTCCTTCCTTCCTTCCTTCCTTCCTTCCTTCCTTCCTTCCTTCCTTCCTTCCTTCCTTCCTTCCTCTCTCTCTCTCTCTCTCTCTCTCTCTCTCTCTCTCTCCTGTTTAAAACCCATGTTGCTAACACAGCTATCACTACAGGTGTGAAACTTAATTTTTGCACATTTCTTCAGTCTTAAAAATATATTTTGAGGTGTGAGGGATTCAGATTTGCTACTATGTGACCGTGCAACATTTAGCTTGGCAAGACTACGTTTGATGAATCAAAGAATCAAAGAATTGTAGGGTTGAAAGAGGCCTTGATAATCCTCTAGCCTAATCAACTGAGTTATCCAGATACATAAACTGCTTTTGGAAACCAAAGAATTTTAATTTTACCCTCTGAAAAGTTCAGGTAATGCTTAATCTTCTTCTTCTTCATCATCATCATATCTGCAAGTACTTGGCAATCTTTTTTCATGGTTTCTATGCAAACTGCATAGAAACTCACTGCAGATGGTGACAGCAGTCACAAAATTAAAAGATGTCTGCTTCTTGGGAGAAAAGTGATGACAACCTGAGACAGCATCTTAAAAAGCAGAGACATCACCTTGCCAACAAAGGTCCGTATAGTTAAAGCCATGGTTTTCCCTGCAGTGATGTATGGAAGTGAGAGCTGGACCATAAAGAAGGCTGATCGCCAAAGAATGGATGCTTTTGAATTATGGTGCTGGAGGAGACTCTTGAGAGTCCCATGGACTGCAAGAAGATCAAACCGATCCATTCTGAAGGAAATCAGCCCTGAGTGCTCCCTGGAAGGACAGATCCTGAAGCTGAGGCTCCAAGACTTTGGCCACCTCATAAGAAGAGAAGACTTATTGGAAAAGACCCTGATGTTGGGAAAGATGGAGGGCACAAGGAGAAGGGGACGATGGAGGACGAGATGGTGGGACAGTGTTCTTGAAGCTACCAGCATGAGTTTGACCAAACTGCGGGAGGCAGTGGAAGACAGGAGTGCCTGGCGTGCTCTGGTCCAGGGGGTCACGAAGAGGCGGACACGACTGAACAACTAAACATCAACAACAATGCACATTGCTGCCTCCATTTTGTTTTCAGGGGGGGAAATGAATTTGTTCGTTGCCTTGCAATTAGGGCCATAGGGGGGCATGGGGGGGCGGAGTTGTCGAAGCAGATCAGTGCAACACCTGGACCGCGTCTGCTATCTGTGCCCTGCAGGGAAGGTTGTTACCTGAAACACTCCAGACAGAGAGGAAATCAATAAATACCAGGGCGCACCTGGCTGGCTTCTGCTTCTGGGGGCGAGAGATGGATTCCTTTCTGACCCTGCCAAAATCTATGCCCAGAAGCCTTTTAAACAAACACACACAAACTCCTCAGTACAAAAATGCCACAAACCAGGAATATGTGGGGAGGTAGGGCAAGTTTCTAGTTCTCATGAAACAAAAAGCAGAAACAAAAGCCCAGAGAGGTAAGGGTCACTTTTTTCAAAATCCAGGGTCCCCAAATAGAACATGCTAAAAGAATGACTTTACTGGCCATTGATTGACATCCTATGCCCTTTTTAATTTTTTTTATTTTATTCTGTTAATGGATTTTGTGGTTTTATATTTTGACTTTATTCTGTCAACTGCCCTGAGAGCTGCGGGTACAGGGCAATATATAAATTCAATAAATAAACAACACAAGTCGTACCAATCAAAGGAAAAGGAATTGCAGAAAAAACCTCTGGATATTGGTGAAATGGTCAAATTAATACGCAAAGCGTTGCAGGGGTTCCGCAGGGAGACTGGGTCCAGCCCTCTGGCTGAACTCGCCGTGAAACAGGCTCCGTTTATTGTACGTTTGGAAAACCCTTTGGAAAGCAGGGCAATTTAAATAAACTCATATGTGGAAATAAGAGCATTCTTATTTAAATAAATGCATGTGTGGGATTAAACGCACTCTTGCAAATTGTTTAAATAAGTGCATATGCGGGGACTTTGTTATTTCAGATTCCCCTTCTCCTGTTAAATCTCCGGCACAGACCCCAGTTGCTTAGCCCTACTTCTCAGTGCTAAGTCTATATAACTGCCACAGTCACCCACCCTCTGGCTGAAGCCTTAGCCTCCGTTTCCAACTTTCCTCTGTTTATTTTTATTTAGCGTGACATTTATAGCCATCCTTTTCCTCCAAGGAGCTAGAGGAGCAGATCCTCTTCCTTTCCTTTTTCAGAACAACAACCCTGTGAGGTAGGGTCAAGGTTGAGAGACCGTGGTTCTAGGAAGGCCTCATGAAAGCTACCTGATAATGGACAACTGTGAGGGTCTGCAATCCCTTTTTAAAGGATTTTTAAAAAGGTAAAGGGACCCCTGACCATTAGGTCCAGTCATGACCGACTCTGGGGTTGCGGCGCTCAGCTCTCTTTATTGGCTGAGGAAGCCGGTGTACAGCTTCCGGGTCATGTCGTCAGCAGGCTAAGCCGCTTCTGGCGAACCAGAGCAGTGCACGGAAAACCCTTTACCTTCCCGCCGGAGTGGTACCTATTTATCTACTTGCGCTTTGTGCTTTCGAACTGCTAGGTTGGCAGGAGCAGGGACCGAGCAACGGGAGCTCACCCCGTCGCAGGGATTTGAACCGCCGACCTTCTGATCAGCAAGCCCTAGGCTCGGTGGTTTAACCCACATCGCCACCCGCGTCCCTTAAAAGGATTTTAGGTGCTCTCAAATGTTTTTACGTGGTTGGTAAATTGCTTTTAGATAGTTTTAAGGATTTTTTAAAAAAGTTTTAAACACATTCTTGCTTGCTTTTAAACTGTATTGTTTTAACACGCTTGTGTTTGATGCCCTTATCTCTTTTGGGGAGGGCAGGATAGAACATATTTATTTATCTATTTCATAAAATTTGTTTTATGATTGTTAAAAAAACACCTCAAAGAGGTTTACTAAAAAAAAAAGAACAGAACCAGAAAAACAACAACAACCAATTCAGAACAACAACTTAAAACCTTCCAAAATAATGAGAACAGACAAGGAGCTAGCTAAAAACCCAGCATTTGTTTATTCAGAAAAAAGGCTAAAATAATTTTTTTTAATGTAGCTGAGCGTGAGACTCGAACCCTGGGCTCGCAGGCTCTAAGTAAAACACTCTAATGACTACGCTGCGTTTGCCTTTTGCTCAGTTCTCTCTCTGGCCTCCTTTCCTGCACTGTAAGCGCCACGGGGCAGAGATCTCACATGCCACAGAAGACTATGCGCATATGGAACCCAGAAGCCGCCTTCTAGAGAATCAGACAGTGGCATCCCTTTTTCTCCGTCGGCAGCGGTTCTTCGGGGTTTCAGGCCAAGAGTCCTTCCCAGCCTTACCGGGATCTGCCAGCGATCAAACCTGGAATCTTTAGCATGCAAAGAAGGCGCTCCACCAGTGGCTTTAAAATAACGCCAAGATTCCAGTCCTCATGGTTCCAATTGCAGGGCTGGCTTAGGAAGCTCTGTACGGCCCGCACTGGCTGGCAGCAGCTCTCAAGGGTTCAGAGGAGGAGTCTTTCCCTACCTATAGCCCATCCAGACACCCTGCCACCCCAGAACCCCCCCCCCAAAATGGGGGTTGCCCCCTTACTTACCTGCCAATCTGGCCGTGGCTTGCTGCCCCCATCGCCTTCTGATTCGTGCCGTCGGTTTAGAGAAGACCAGACCCCTTTCGCAACCTCACCATCTGCGTAGCAGCCTGTTCTCTCTGCCAAAAAGCCCCTCTTCTCCTGGGCGTGGGGGACGACCCCCCAGTTTCAAGACCTTTCCAGCTCCCTAAAGGAACAAATTTTAATTTTTTTAAAAAAGGAAAATGTCAGCGTTCAAAAGTCAACAACGGAAGCTTGGAACCTCTTTGTGTGTCTCTGCCACTTTTAAATGTTGACTTATAGAAGTGGGCCTGTAAAAGGAGGCTGGAGGGGGAATTTGGGGGGTGGGTGGGCTCGCCTCGCTCGTAAAAGCCCCCTGAACGATGCCTGAACTCGTAACCCCTCGTTGACCTTTCTGAAAGGAAGAGGGGGGAAAGCTGACCCAGACTCTTGTTTTGGGTGACTCATAAATCAGTCACTCAGTGCATTTTTTGTTTGGGGGGGGGTGAAGAACCAGAAGAGGAAATTGGCTCATAAAAATGTGCAACAGATTCCGATCACCCGGGCTCCATCGTGCCAACTGCGTTTCGCCTCTGTGCCTCAAAGGCTGGATTTTTCTACAAAACGAAAGAAAGAGGAACCGAGCGCTCAAATCTTTTCGGGGACGACCCTTTCCTAGGCAATGAAAAAATACAGAACTCATGTTCTGAGCTGAATTATCCCATGCACAAGACTTGCAAAAGAGAAAGAGCAGAATACAGAAGCAGTCAATTGTTATAGGAATTCTAAGGTCATAGAGATAGATAGATAGATAGATAGATAGATGATAGATAGATAGAGATAGACAGACAGACAGACAGACAGACAGATAGATAGATAGATGATAGATAGATATAGATAGATAGAATAAACGTTCATAAATTTGCGTGTTCAGACCCAGAAACCTCCCCCTTAAATAAATTCACACATGACTCAAATTTTGTTTTTGGCAGAATTTAGGCCACAACTTTATTGATTACAGAAAGTGACTGGTTGCATAGGCTCTGGTTCGACTAGCTCCCTGCCATGCAGGTAGCGCTGACCCAGGGTTCCACCATAGGTCAGCCAAGGGTGAACACCTGGATAAGCGGAAAGCCGGGAACGGGCTATTTCTGCCACCCAAATGTCCCCCTGGACTCAGGAATGGGCACAATCCCCTCTCAGGGGTTGACCAAACCATCGAGTCCCTGGATTCCTTTAACGGAATACCCTTCACATAGGGATGGCAAGAGCGTTCTCCCATCCCTATCACCTGAACCAGTGCCTATCCGCAATCTTACAAGTTGTGACGATTTGCTATACGGCAGGCGGAACCCAAATGGCAACAGCCAATCAGCCAAGCAGGGGAAATTCCTGCCGTGCCCCTGTCCCAACGACAGACAACACATGACGGCATAGCATGGTTAAGCGCAAAGCCCTAAAAGTAGGGAGAGGCGGGCGGGTGTTCTGATGCATGAGCCAAAAGAGGAAGCTCTGGGTCACGTGCATGGGCATAAATAGGTCCCTTGAGAACCGTTTGGACTGCATCCTATTGGCCAGATTGCACCCAGCTTCGATGGTCCTACCAATTGGGTGTTGTGGATGACCAGTTGTACCCACCCACAACACAGGGAGTTGGTTTTCCAGGTCTTATCGCAATTGTTGTTTGTTGTTGTTTAGTCGTTTCGTCGTGTCCGACTCTTCGTGACCCCATGGACCAGAGCACGCCCCATGGACTCATCACAATACGTGTCCCCTTTAAGGGAGGACCCGATTTACAAGGCAAACACATACGTAAGTATATAAACCACGTGTCTGAAATAGTACAGGAGAGCAACCCTGAAGCCATTTTGACTCTTCCAGCAACCTCAAATATTCTCCCCATTGTCTCTTTGCTCCCAACTCCTGTCTTTAGGGCATATTTGTGTATAAATAGGGTGAGCCTGTGGCCTGGATTCAGGAACTAAGTATTTAGCATCTCAAAAGGAATGGCCAGGCTGCCCAGGTAAAGCAATCAGTGACCATTATCAGGTACCCTGACAGAAAAGTTTTCTGCTGTGATGTATCCCCCTGTGATGTATTTCTGCTGGGGACCACCTCCTTCTGTGATGTACCGTATGTATGATGTTTTGGGGGGTGGTCTTGAGCTACACGGGAGGCAATTTCAAAAGTCTATACTGTATATAAGAGCTTGCGCACCAATGTTCTGGGTTCCTCTCTTCCCTCCCTGTGTGGGCGGAGCAGGGGACTCTGTTGCAAGCGTTTAATAAATATCAGGCTTACTAGCTGCTTTGCTTCTCAATATTCTCTGGTTGGCCTCTGTTATTTTCTCCTACCGATAGAAAACCTACATAAGGACTCTGTACAGGCTCTTGGATACCCAATAAGGGATATAGGAGCAGTTTTTTTCTTATAACACAGAGAACCACAAAATGGTTTATAGTGGTACTTTAGTTTTCAAACTTAATCACTTCCAGAAGTCCGTTCCAAAACCAAAGCATTTCAAAACCAAGGCGTGCTTTCCCATAGAAAATAATGCAAAATGGATTAATCCGTTCCAGACTTTTTAAAACAGCAATTTAATATGAATTTTACTATCTAACGAGACCGTTGATCCATAAAATGAAAGCAATAAACAATGTACTGCAGTCACACAATCAATCAGTAGCTGGACTGGGTTCTACACAGTCACACAAAAAAGAGCCACAAAAACGCAAAATAAATAGAAAAAACAGACAGACCTCAGCGTAACACTCAAATCAGAAGTGTGGCACTCAAATTGGAAGTTTGGCACTCAAATCGGAAGTGTAACACTCAAAACGGAGCACATTCAACTTCCGAAAAAAGTTTGCAAACCAGAACACTTACTTCCGGGTTTGCAGTGTTTGGGTTCCAAGTTGTTTGAGTACCAAGGCGTTTGAGAACCAAGGTTCCACTGCCATTGGAAGTCCCACCCCCTGCAATGTAGAAATCAGTGCCAAAGAACTCTTGACAGATGACCAACTGAGCTCTGTTTCAAAACCTTCAAGGAAGCAGAGTCTTCCCAGCTTTATTTTTATGTTTTTAAACAGTTCAGGCAAGTTTCTGCTGGCCTGAGAGAACCATCTCCGCTCTCCACCCCAAGGCGCCATTGTCAGGGTTCTCCTGGCACCCCGAGCCAATTTGGGGGAATGGGGGCGGTGCAGGGGGAGGCGAGAGGGGGGAAAGCCCCACTGCGCCGATGTCCTCACCATGGACTTCCTCCAGCAGGACCCATTGGTTGAATCTGGCCCTAGGTTTCTAGTCCTCAGCAACCACCTTCCGACATAAGCTTGGTGCCAACCATCCAGTCGCCTCTTCATTTCATTATATCAACTAGTTTATAAAAAAATATCATTATTTATCGCAAGCTGACACAGAAAATCGCCTCCCAAAAGCTCCTCCCTCACCTTTCCATCCTCCTCTGAGAATCACCCACCTGAACCAAAATGTCTCGACGTCGCATGGACCAGTCCCGCTACTGCGGTTATCACAGGGAAAAGAGGAGAGACTGGATACCTCCTCTGGCCGGGCGCAAGGTTGTCATGGATCCTCAAAGAGCGACAGCCCTGCGAGGTCTGGGCCCCACTCCCTTTGTTTGGTCAAACTTTGCTTAATCCAGTCCTGGGTATTTTTATCCGGCTGGGGACCGTCCAAATCTTTGTTGCGTTGGCACCACATGGAGTGGACCGTCCAAATATACCCGCTCACATTCCCCCACTTATCTTTCTAAATCAGTTACATCGGCTACATTAAAAAAAAGGCACCCTTGGCTGGGAGTTGTGGAAGGAAAGGTCACCGCTTTGTGGAATCAAAACATGTCTGAAAAGGTCACTGCGCCCAAGAGAACGCTCGGCCCAAATGCCAAACTCGCTCTCTCTTCTCCTATTAAAACCCACAGGTTGCTAATGTAAGTATCACCGTGGAAAGAGAAATTAGCAATGAGGACTAGCAACTTAACAAAGCCATGCTGTTTTATCAAAACACGCCTGGAAGGTAGTTGCACCTGAGAAAGCACCCACCAAACCCTTCCTTCCTTCCTTCCTTCCTTCCTTCCTTCCTTCCTTCCTTCCTTCCTTCCTTCCTCTCTCTCTCTCTCTCCTGTTTAAAACCCATGTTGCTAACACAGCTATCACTACAGGTGTGAAACTTAATTTTTGCACATTTCTTCAGTCTTAAAAATATATTTTGAGGTGTGAGGGATTCAGATTTGCTACTATGTGACCGTGCAACATTTAGCTTGGCAAGACTACGTTTGATGAATCAAAGAATCAAAGAATTGTAGGGTTGGAAGAGGCCTTGATAATCCTCTAGCTAGCCTAATCAACTGAGTTATCCAGATACATAAACTGCTTTTGGAAACCAAAGAATTTTAATTTTACCCTCTGAAAAGTTCAGGTAATGCTTAATCTTCTTCTTCATCATCATCATATCTGCAAGTACTTGGCAATCTTTTTCATGGTTTCTATGCAACTTTACTCACTGCAGATGGTGACAGCAGTCACGAAATTAAAAGATGCCTGCTCCTTGGGAGAAAAGTGATGACAACCTGAGACAGCATCTTAAAAAGCAGAGACATCACCTTGCCGACAAAGGTCCGTATAGTCAAAGCTGAGGTTTTCCCAGTAGTGATGTATGGAAGTGAGAGCTGGACTATAAAGAAGGCTGATCGCCGAAGAATGGATGCTTTTGAATTCTGGTGCTGGAGAAGACTCTAGAGAGTCCCATGGACTGCAAGAAGATCAAACCTCTCCATTCTGAAGGAAATCAGCCCTGAGTGCTCACTGGAAGGACAGATCCTGAAGCTGAAGCTCCAAGACTTCGGCCACCTCATGAGAAGAGAAGACTCTCTGGAAAAGACCCTGATGCTGGGAAAGATGGAGGGCACAAGGAGAAGGGGACAACAGAGGACGAGATGGTTGGACAGTGTTCTCGAAGCTACCAGCATGAGTTTGACCAAACTGCGGGAGGCAGTGGAAGACAGGAGGGCCTGGCGTGCTCTGATCCATGGGGTCACGAAGAGTCGGACACAACTAAACAACAACAGGCAACCTTACACACATTTTACTTACAAAGCAAAATGAAATTATATCAATTTAACACACAATTTCTTTTGAATTCTCCACCATCTGCAATCTAAAATCGGATCGA